GGAGGAGGAGGAGGAGGAGGAGGAGGAGGAGGAGGAGGAGGAGGAGGGGGAGGAGGAGGAGGAGGAGGAGAAGAAGAAGAAGAAAAGTGACTTGAGGTTTAGACAGGAGTCAGGATGGAGGGGGCTGGAGAGTAAGGGAGAAGTGGAGAATGAATTCTGAGGACTCCCCAGGTGTGGGAAGATCTGTGCCACAGGTGTGTGGTGCATTCTGGGTTGGATTTGGTAAGGTGCTTCAATGTGTGAAAGTCCGACCATGTTGCTGTGTCTTCCTACCCTGAATCTATCTTGAAGGAGCATGAAGCAGGGTTCTCTGCCTCCCTCACAGTTCAATCATATGTGCCCAGTGATAGTTTGTGAGAGATTTGGTAATGGTGCTAAATGCGAGGCAACTAGTTGGAGAAGTAAGAACTCCCTCAGCGCTGTAAGGGTCAGAACGTTAGGGCCTGCTTAACAAACTCATTCTCAAGAGGCCAATTAAAAAGAGAGTAGAAGTGAAAATTTTAAAAAGATTTTAATATGGCCATATTGGAAAGAACAAAGATGTCTAGCGACATTCTCTTCTCCAAGTCCCTCTTCAGGGTTCTAGTTTAGGCTTAAATAGAAGGCGAGAGGTATGCATCACTAAGCAGTCTGTCAAGGTGTGGTCGCTTCCATCATCATTTCATCTCCAGTTTCTCTGGTAAGGTAATTTGCCAAATTTTAAGAACTGTGAAATATCTTTCCTGGAGTCAAGTTCTTCTGTTGGCTGGCATCTGTGCCCTTGTCTTTTCCTTCTGCCAACATGAGAAACTGCATTTTCTTAGAGTGCAGTCCTGTCTGACTGCTAACGGGTATCCATCAAGGAGGGTCTCTAGAATATCTTTAATCCTGCCATGATAGCTAGGGGCTGGAGACTGGAAGGGATTTTTCCTTCTCTTAGTGATGCAGCTCACGCTTACTTCCGCATGCCAGAGGATGAGCTGGCTGAGGTCGGAAATGCCCCGCCAGAAGGCTGGATTCCTTGGGCCACGGCTTGACCGCAGCTAAGAGGCAAGCGGAAGTTCTCCTAGGACACCAGTTCTCCTTGCTGTCCTTAAGCCCCGCCCCTCCGGTGTAGGCGGCGTCTCCGTGGCGACGCGACTCCATGTGCGGCTGCGCAAGAGTGACGGGGCGCGGGCGAGTGGGACGGGGTGTTTTGGTTCTCGCCGCTCGCCGTCCTTTCCAGACCTGGCGGTCAGAAAGCCGCTCATTCCTGCTTTTCCTTCCCCTTCCCCTTCCCTTCCCTAACCCGGATTTTCCCTCCTCCCATTTACGCGCCTCTCTTTGATCGGCTGCCGCCCGGAATCCGGGCCGGGCGCTCGGAAGCGCGCGGCCCCGGGGCCCGGTACATGACCCGCCGCCCTGCCGCCCCTCGCGTCTTCCGCCCCATGTGGCTACGGGGCCACGGCGGCGCTGCCCACTATGGCCCGGAAAGCAGTTAGCAGGAAGCGGAAAGCGCCTGCCTCGCCAGGAGCCGGGAGCGACGCTCAGGGCCCGCAGGTGAGGGCTCACGGGCCTGGGTGATGATGGCAGAACCCCAGCAAGAGCTTAGGGAGTCCAGCTGGGGCCAGGGGCCAGGGCGGAACAGGCACCGGGGTCTGGTCCTTTTGCAGTGTTCTGGCGTGCAGGCGGGCCGGAAGGGTGAGGAGCCAAAAGGAAACTCCAAAATGACGCCTTCCGCTGGAGGTCTGCATCTAGGGATGGAGCTTCAGGACCTCCTTGGTTCTGGAGGAAGGAGGGACTGAAGTCAAGGGGAGATCGGAGGAAGCAAGACCGGCCTTCGGCAGTTCCTGAAAAGGAGACCGAAGTCGGCTCTCCAGTGGCACTGGGAATATGGGCCGATTGTCTCTTTTATCAAGGAAACCATCTCCCAAGCTGGGTGCTGGTTCTTTCGGCTCTTTAGACACCTGGCGGAAACACTAGGCGTCATGTCTCTACTGCCCCCTTTGGAGAGAAAGACCTCTCGGACTTAGGATTCCGACGCTGGTTACTCGTGCTTTTCACCCCGTTGGTATTTGATTTTTCGAGTTCTAAAACTGCCTGCAGCGCTAGTCGCGCGATGTCAGATGAGCGGCCATTGACTGTACATCCCTAAAGCCCCGGGGCCCCAGCCGGCCTCCCCTCTGTGCTCTACGGGGAGCACAGGCGGAGAAGGAGAGGGGCTAGGTAGAGATGCAGCACAGGTGGGTATGGCAATGTGGACCTCATTTCTTTCCCTGTCAAGGACTCCTGGGTATATAGTGTTTCCTCAGAGGTCCTCAGGGGTCCTTTCGTCCTGTTTATCCATTTTCTAAGTAGGCTTCATTGTGAGAACCTTATATTTCAGTGCTAGACGAGTTAAACTACTTTCTGGGTTGTGAATCTTCTTTCTTGATTATGGAAATCCTGACTGATGAATGCTTTTCTTCTATTATACAGTACGATTTCATGTCTTCGAGAAAAGTAGCCAAACCTCTGATTTCTTTTTTTTTTTATTTAACTTTTATTAATTACACTTTATTCATTTCAAACCTCTGATTTCTAATGTTGATTTCCACAGTTTGGCTGGGATCACTCACTGCACAAAAGAAAAAGACTACCCCCAGTGAAGAGATCTTTAGTGTACTACCTGAAGAACCGGGAAGTCAGGCTACAGAATGAAACCAACTACTCTCGGGTGTTACAGGGTTATGCAGCACAACAACTCCCCAGTCTCCTAAAGGAGAGAGAATTTCACCTTGGGACCCTTAATAAAGTGTTTGCTTCTCAGTGGTTGAATCATAGGCAAGTGGTGTGTGGCACCAAATGCAACACGGTGAGTATCAGGAGGGCCAGAGATGTTTGGCTTCAGTGTCTCTCACTGCTCATCTTCCCCATTTACAGGTTTTTAATTGATTGTTTTTTGTTTCTTTTGGTAAGCAGAGTTGGAAATTGTTAAGACATTTTTAAGTAGAAATGTTAGGACAAAGAGGTGCTCAAGGAGAGGATAAATGCTCTGTGGATCTGGGTTGCTCCAGGGATAGATGCTCCCGTCAGTTTCTTTTAGCAAGGCATTGCCTTACGCTCTATTCCTTTCCTTTAGCGACTGTGCCCTCTCTTTACTTCTGCATTGGCTAGTGGATGCAAGTGAGCATGTCTTTAGGCCACTGACTCTGTGTTTGCTGCTGTTTGCAGTGTTTAGCCTCATCTTTTAAATAAGAGGCCTCAAAGAAAGGACAGAAATTGATGTCAGCATCATTTAGGATACATGATAGTGACAGCTTAATTGCTGTGTACCAACCTTTTACATATTTAGAAATATTTAGCACATGGCTGAAGGTAGAAATAAAGCGAACATTCTTTTTCATGTAATAGAATCCAAACATAGCACGTGGGAGGCTGAGTCAAGTAGAGTTGCTGTATATTGAAAACCTGTCTCAGAACAAACAAAAAACAAAGATGTGAATAGTTTCTTACAAAGAAAAGTGATGTGTGCCTAGTGGTATATTTTAGGGGATGAACAATTACAAGAAAGAGAGGAAAATTAAAGATGACATGGGAGTAGGGGAACAGTTTTAAAGAGAGTAACAGTTATAAGTAATTGGAGGTGAAATTATATCAGTAAGCTGTATAACCAATATGGCTACAGGCAAGAATAGTCAAGAGTAGATGTGGTGCTTTCTTCGCAGTGTTCCTACTTAATTTGGGATGCTACGGAGAAGATCAGCGTGGCCCCTGTACAAGGATGACACACAAGTCTGAAATGTTCCACCTTAAAAAAAAGTGGATGTGGTTGGAATAGAAGGTTACAAATGGTATGATATTGTACGGTTCATAGATGTTAGAAGAGACAGGACTGAAGTTGGATAAATGATTTCGTCTAGCCCTCCCTACTACTTTAACTCACCTAGTGTGAATAGACACTATGTTATAATGGTGACTAAATTGACCAAAGCACATCTGGGGTTGCTTAAAAGAGAGGTTACTCTCCATGAAGAAAATCATGGGCCTGTGAGATTGTTCAATGAAAAGGTGCTTGCCACCCAAGCCTGGCCACCTGAGTTTGCTCCCCAGACCCCACATAAAGGTGGAAGGAGAGAACTGACTCCTAAAACTGATTCCTCTGACCTCCACTTGCATGTCATAGCACACTTTCTAAGATAACAGCACACATTAACAATAATTTTAAAAGGAAAAAAATCTTGGGTGCTCAGTGGACAAAAGTTGCCAAGCCTGACACCCTGAGTTTGACCCTCCATCTATGTGATGGAGAGAGAACAAACTACCACAAGCTGAATACACACGCTTGCTGTGACATGCATACCCACTGCCAAATACAAATAAGATGTACAAAAAAAGACAAAGCAAATATCTTAAGTACTAGAAGTATCTTTACAAAGGTCATAGGCAAATTTTTAGTTTTGAGGAAGGAAATAAAACTGTGGTAGCTGGGACCAAATTTTACTTCTGTTAAATGTTTGTTTTACACTTAACACTTTCAAAACAAGGTGCTAGGAGCCTGTACAAAACTTCCTTCTGCTTTCTTTCTTGCCCTGGTGGCTTAGGAAACTCATTGCTGGCACTTGGAGTAGAAAAACTGTTTCCTGTTTCCTTAATCTATTGACAGTATTTTGAAGATGAGCATATTAACTAATAATTTAATTTTATTTTTTTTTTTTTTTTTTTTTTTTTTCTTGACTTGGGACTGGAAAGATGGCTCAGCAGTAAACAAGACTCATTGCTTTTTGAAAGGACTGGGGTTTGATTCCCAGCCCCACTTGGTTGCTCATAACCATCTGTACATTCCAGGAGCTCTGATGCTGTCTTCTGGCCTCTAAGGGCATAGCACATGTGTGCTGCATAAATGTACATGCAGACAAAACACCCATACATAACATAGGAAATAAGTTCTTACAAATTTACTCTTAATACCTATGTCTATCTTCCTAACTTAAAAACCTATTTTGTCTTTTTTTTTTTTATTTCATGTGTGTTAGTGGGTGCTGCATTTGCTATAGAGGTCATGTGACAGGACACTTAACAGGAGTCAATTCTCTCCTTCCACCATGTAGACTCTAAGAATGAAACTCATGTTCTCAACCTTGGTAACAAGCTGCTTTAACCATTGAGCTTGTTGTACCCTCTTAACTTCATCTTTGCATACTCTCTCTCTGTCCAGGCTGGTTTTGAAATCACAAAGATCTGCATACTTCTGCTTCCTTAATCCTAGGATCAAAGTTGTGTGCAAACACTCCTGGCCCTGAACTATTAATGCCTACTGTATCTTCATGACTTAAAATGCTTGAAAATAGTGGGGGCTGTCTTGTTTTAAGATGGAGTTTTATGTGGTTCAGGTTGGCCTCTACCTTACTATATACCTGAGGATGACCTTGAAAATCCCAATTCTCTAGCCTCTGTCTCATAATTGCTTGGATTGTGGACAGGAACTAAATGACACTTGGCTATTTTATTTTTCATTTTTATGTGTGTGGGAACTTTTCCTCTGTGTGTGTATGTGTACCATGTGTGTAGAGTACCTGAGAGGTCAGAAGTGGGTATTAGATCCCCTAGAACTATAGTTACAGACAGTTGGTAGACAACATTTGGATTTGGGGAATCAAACCTAGGTCCTCTGGAGCCTGCTCCTGCCCCGGCTGTTTTATTGTTTGTTTGCTTTTAATTCTTTCATACATTACATCCCAACCTCAGTTTCCTCTCCCTTCACTTCTCCCAGCCCCTGTCACCATCTCTCTTCCCTTCCAGATCTATTGCCCCTCCATCTCTTCAGAAAAGAGCAGGCCTCCCAGGGATGTGTATTTGTGTGTGTATACAGACTTATATGTGTATGCACACACATACATTGTTTCTCTGTGTAGCCTTGGCGCTCTTGGAACTTGCTTTGTAGACTGTGCTGGCCTCTGAACTCATAGAGATCCGCTTGGCTGGAGAGAAGTCTTAAGGCGAATAACTGTGCTCTGGATGGGATATTGTTGGGAAGTGAAAGGGTGGATTGTTTTGTATACCTTCTCTAGAAGGAAAGTAAAGCTATAACTGCTGCTGATGAAGCAGCCACTTTTACCAGGTTAATCTGCTTGTGGTTCTGACAATGGTCACGTTTGATCTTTATTCAGAGAGGATTAGAAAGTGGCCTGTTGTGATGCTGATGCTCTGTAAGATTTCTTTTGTTTTTGCCGTAACCCCAAGGCCTAGGCACAGTCTTGGCTGCTGGCGTCGGCTCCCTTGTCAGGGTCGCAGATGTGCTGGTGCACTCGCAAGTGCACTTGGTAGTCATTCTGACGCACACAAACTAGTTGCTGCAATTAGTTGTAAGCAGAAGAGAGAACTTGGAGACAGCAAGTTCCAGGATAGTCAAATAGTCAAGACTATCACAGAGAAGCCCTATCTCAAAAATCAAAAAATAAATTAAAAATCAAAATAATATTAATGGTAGCCTCGGCTATTGAACAAGTTCAGGCCAGCCAAGGAGAGTTAGTGGGACCCTGTCTCAAAAGAAATGTAATGGCAATTGAAATCACTTTGAGTGGGCAGAAATTCATCCTGTGCAAACAAAAATAAGGAAAGTCTTCCCTCAACAGTGTAGAAGATAAGACAACTTCCTAATGTTGTATAAAAAGAGAGCTGGCGGTAAAACCAGGTAGTAGAATATAAGACCTGAGTTCAGTCCCCCAGCATTAGAGGGGAGCAGCGGTGGAGAACCGTGGATGGAATGCCTGGCGGGCTGGCTGGGTACTGTCAACAGCTCAGGAGATGAACTGCTGACCTCTTGCAGTCAGTGCCACACCAGCAACTGGCCAAGGGCGATGCACACCTTTCATCTCAGTGCTTGGGAGGTCCAGGACAGCCAGGGCTAAACAGAGAAACCCCGTCTCGAAAAACAGAAAAAAACCCACCACACCACCACCAAAAAGGTGGCACACCTATAACCCCAGCTGTTCGGAAGGGTATAAAAGCCTGGGCTATAGAAACTGCATCTCAGTAACTGTATGGGCTGCTAGCCTGGTATATGTTTTTATTCCCTTGCACTGACAGGTTAACAGCATTTCTTTTGGGTGAACATATTTTATGGCTGGGTGAGAAACATGCAAATTATCCTCCCCTCCCTGCCCTTTTTTAATCCTAGAATTAGTGCTTTTTTTTTTTTTTTTTTTTTTTTTGAGACCCGGTTTGGTTTCTCTATGTAACAGAGTCCTGGCTGTCCTGGAACTCACTAAGTAGACCATGCTGGCCTCAAATTCAGAGATCACCTCTGCTTGCTGAATGCTAGGATTAACAGAATATTTAACTTTTATTGGGAGACTATTTAGGTGTAGGATTGCCAGGTTGGTAAATTATTTCTCTTGGTGTATGTATGTATGTTTTTAGTTGGAAATAATTGTGGCAGTATTTTATATACCCTAACTAATCCCATATGTAAGGTTGTAGGAAGAACAGGAATAAAAATGAGTTTATGCCTCTCATGTAGACTTGTTTTTTCTATGGTTTGTAGGCATTGCTTGGATAAGTGCAGGTTTGGAGCTATTTAAAGTAGTGCTTTGCTCTTTTTAGGCTATCCTTTGCCTGTAAGGAAACTAGTGATATCCTGTATTGTCTAGCCTGGGCTGGGTGTGTAGCTCAGTAAAGCTCTTCCTAGCATGGCAATCAGGAAGGAGACAAGATGATATTTAGTGCATCGTTTTTCCTTCAGGATAGTGATAGTCCAGGACTATGCCACATTGCAGCAGATGTTAGATTTGACTTCTCCTGGTAGGGGAAGGTAGAGGGGCCAAAGAAATGTCTTTCCCTCCGGTCACCATAAGGATCGGATACATGTGAACTCATAGGTGCCCTACCATGCCCTTTTGAATACCTGTATTTGTACTTGGTAACGTCTGTAGAATTAGGTATAATCTGAGCCGTTTATTTCAGGAGTAGTTTATTTGAAGTTTGGGTTGCTGGACAGTGAAGGGAGAGGAACATGCGGATCTACTGGTGCTCATGGACTTTTAGCCTAGCTGGGTCTTTGTTAGGTAGTGTAGGTAGTATAGTCACTGCCAGAATTACTGGTGTGTGCCACCATGCCAGTTGGGCATTTTTCTGTTAATTATCAGTACCTGAGTATGGTTGATGAGAAATTGGGAGTTGGGTATAGCCCAGTGGGCAAGCATACACCATATGTGACACCAGCACCAAAAATGAAAAGCCAGGTAATGATGGCACGTGCTTTAAATCCCAGCATTCAGGAGGCAGACAGGGGATCTCTGAGTTTGAGGCCAACCTGGTTTACAGAGCTAGTTGCCAGACAGCCAAGGCTACACAAAGAAACCCATGTCTCAAAAAACAAAAAGGGAGAGAGAGAAAAGAAGAAAAGGTGAGTGGGAAGTTAGGCAAGTTAAGAATTTTCCTGGTGAGCTCCAGGGTATTCCTTCCCTGCCTGAGCCTTCCTGTTCTAAAAGATAAGAGAAACTGGCCTAAACTATGAGCCCTGGTTCTCTATACTGGTTGTCAGAATTATTTATATTAAACCACACTTCTCAGACCTTTTCACTAACATACCCTAGATCAGTCAGTCTCTGGGCAGTCCTGGCCAGTGGGACTCTTGGTGAAGTTCTAAAATAATCTTTAAAATACTGTAAGCGATTGAGCACACCTTTAATCCAGCATTTGTGAGACCACGGCAGGGTGGCTGTTGTAAGAAGCCACCAAGGACTATATAATGGAGGTAGCTTAGCCTAGATGGAAGTGAAACTATTTCCTACTTTTATTTCTTTTTTTTTTTTTTTTTACAGGGTTTCTCCACACCACTGCCCAGCAACTTTTCTTTTTAAAGATATGCTATTTATAAATACACACACACACACACTATAAATCATTATTTGAGCCAGGCAGTGGTATTGCATGCCTTTAATCCCACCACTCAGGAGGCGTGAGTTTAAGGCTAGCCTGGTCTACCGAGAGAGTTCCAGGACAGCCAGGATAACACAGAGAAACCCTGTCGGGGGGGGGGGGTATACTTTGCTCTATTGATTCCGTGTCTGTGTGTGTATTTACCATTGTATTAATATAAAAATACCTTATTTCTGGGAATGTAGCTTAGGAAAATACTTAAGGCCCAGGGTTCAACCCTTAGCAGTACACACCCACACACCCAAATACCGTGTTGGGGTATGAAAATCTTCTGTTAAGTACTAAGTAAAATGTGTGCTTCTAGAAGATGAGATACTGGTTTCTTGTAGGAACCAAAGCATCAAATACATATACATGCTATCATTTCCAACTTTTGATCATATATTTATATCATGAAAAATTTGGACACAGTATAAATGTTGAAGAATTTATTCATTAAATGCTAGTGTGTCTATGTGATAAAGTACTTTATAGCCATGAGACAGTATGTAGAAAGCTGAGCATGGTGCCATGCTAGCACTTGGGAGGAAGGAATTAGGAGTTGAAGGCCATGTGTTGCCTGCTTCACGGCAAGTCTGAAGCTAAGAGGCTATGTGAGACCCTTTCTCAACAAAGAGACAAACAGTAAATAGTGTAGCACAGCATCTGCTGGCCACGGGCCTGGAATCCCAGCACAGGGGAGCTGGAGGCAGGCAGATACCTATGAGTTCAAGGCCAGCCTTATCTACATACTCATACATACTGAGTTCCAGGACAGCCACACAATCAGACTGTCTTAAATAAAATTAAAAAAAAAAAAAAAAAGAAAGAAAAGAAAGTAAAGAAAATAGAAAAAGAAAAAGAGCAAAGCAAACAAAATCAAAGCTAGCCTGGGCTACAGAGTACAATAAAGGCCAGCCCTGGACAATGTAATTGAGAATTCTCCCTCTACCCCAAAACAAACAAAAAAAGGTAAGCCAGCATGACGGTTTAGCAGGTGGAACACTTGGCATCAAATTTGACCTGAGTGTAACCCCTGGGACTCAGTGGTAAAAGGGAATGAACTCCTGCAGGCTATTACCTCCATGTGTATGCCATGCTGTACGCTTTAGCACACACATGAATATTAATGAATATGCAGTGTTTGACTGGGAGGGATGATCTAGGTTAGGTTAACTGAGGTGGAAAGACCTTCCTTAATTGTGAGCAGCACCACTCAATGGGTGGGCTACGGTACTGGATAGAGTAAAAACCAGCTGAGCCTTAGCTGAGCCTTTCTAGGTGGGTGGTGGCACAGGCCTTTAATCCCAGCACTCTGGAGGCAGGCAGGTGGATCTCTGTGAGTTTGAGGCTAGCCTGGTCTACAGAGTGTGTTCAAGGACAGCCAGGGCTACACAGAGAAACCCTGTCTTAGGAAAAAGCTGAGCCCCAGCATGCTGCTGCTTGAGCATGTCACCGGCTGCCTCGAGCGCTCGCTGTTAAACTTTTTCGTGGGAAAGACAGTACCAAGGAGCTGTGAGTCAGTATAACCCGTAAGCTGCTGCTGTGGATGGTTTCTTGAAGCACTGGGACACGTGACTATTACAGCCTGTTTTTATCCTTGGCTGGTGCTTTGTTTCTTTGTCTTCTTCCTCTTCTTTACTCCTTATTGTTTGGGTTTGGAATCTTCTATCTAACACTTTTTCCGAGGGTTTCTCTATGTAGCCTTGACTGTCCTGGAACTAGCTTTGTAGACCAGGCTGGCCTCGAACTCTGGGCCACTTGCCTCTGCCTCTCAGGTGCTGGGGCTAAAGGTATGCACCACCACCTGCCCCCCCCCCCTTTTGTCAGTATCAGGATCTCTATTTACATGTGTGAGTGTGAAGATCAGAAGAAAACACTTGAGGGAATTCTCTCCTTCCGCCATGTAGGTCTCAGGGATCTTGGCATTCGGTATCTTTACCCACTGAGGCATCTCAGGTGGCCCAGTGCAGTTTATCTTCTGGGAAACCAGCGCACATTAGCTCTCCTTTCTATGTTAGATTTCGTTCTAGAAGAATATTGTTTTTAGTAGCTTCATAAGGTTCCTCTTGAAAGCCATTGTCTTGTGGGTGTGTTTGCGAACGTCTTCATACCCCCTCCTACATACATTGCTTACTGCTCCTACCTCTTTCCCAGCAACAGCTCTGCTTGGCTCTTCCCTGTCCTAGAAGGGAAGGTTTAGGGAGCCAGAGCCTGAGGCTTGTCTCACTATGCTGCCAGTTTCTGGCTCTGATCCCAGTGGGTTAATGTGGAGCACCCCATTCTGAGTGTGTAAGAGATCTTGCACTAAAGCCTTGCCCTTGTCTGTGAGGAAAGCAACTCTGAGCCAGTCCTCTTGCCCCACACTCTGTGAAGAGGCAGCATGCTCTGCCGTCTGTGAGTACAAGGGCGAGAATGTCTACGTGATTCTCATTGCCCGAGCCCTTTGCATTCCAAGTCACATTAGTTTTTAAGCCTTTCTTAATACCCTGCAACGCTAATTAAAGCAATTGTATATTGCTATTTTAAGGTTTCTTTTACTTGACCCTGTGTATGTGTATAAGTATGTGCTTGTCAATAAAGATGCATATGTGTAGGCCAAGGGCTCGGACCTCTCCCTCACACACACAGACAGCCACCTCACAACTAGGAACCAAACACAGGCCGCTTCCAAGAGCAGCACCTGTTCTGAACCAGCAGACCCTCTCTAGCCCCTTGGGCTTTAGTTTTTGGGATAGGATCTCATGTAGCCCAGCTGACCTCAAAATTCTGATCCTCTTGCTTCTGCTTTTTTAAAGTGTTGAGATTCTCAGGTAGTCTTACATCCAAATACCAACCAGGCCCAGCCCTGCTTAGCTTACGAGGTCAGATGAGATGGAGCCCATTCAAGGTAGTAAAACCATATTTAATACTTTAAAAAAAAGATTTTATTATTTATTGTAAGAGTGTTCTATCTGAACAGGGCATCAGATTCCAGTGTAGATGGCTGTAAACCACCATGTGGTTGCTGGGAATTGAATTCAGGACCTCTGGAGGGGCGACTCTTATCTACTGAGCCATCTCTCCAGTCCCTATTTAATACTTTCTGATCTGTTTGTGGAGAATGTTAACTCTATCTTGAGTTATTTTACGTTATTTTCATGTTTTATTTGACTAGTGTCCTTAGCCATGCCATTAAATAATTGAGAGTTCTGCTTGATCTGGCAGTACATTATCTGAGGAACTCAGCCGAGGCAGTTGGATATCTGTGAGTCTCAAGGCCAGATTAGACTTCCAGGCCAATCAGGCCTACACAGTGAGACCCTGTCTCCAAAATAAATAAATTCTGGGCATGGTGATACATGTACTTGGGAGGTAGAGGAAGGCAGATCTCTCTTAGTTAGAGGCCAGACTTTTTTCCACATAATAAGTTCCTGGCTTGTAAGGCTACACAGTGAGACCCTGTTTCAAAACAAAACAACATGAAAGTTCCCAGGGTTGGGGTGGAGAGATAGCTCAGTGGTTAAGAGCACTGGCTGCTCCTCCAGAGGTCCTAAGTTCAATTCCCAACAACCACATGGTGGCTCACAACTATCTATAATGGAATCTGGTGCCCGCTTCTGGCTTGCAGGTATGCAGGCTAGATGGGGTATTCATACATGGTAAACAACTAATCTTTAAAAAGAAAAATGAAATTCCTAGGGTCTGCTATATAGTAAGCTTTAATTGAATGGTGTTGACCAGATTAAGTAGAAACTATGTTTTGTGTGCCCCCTTCTCTTGCAGCTCTTTGTAGTAGATGTCCAGACAGGCCAAATCACCAAGATTCCCATTCTAAAAGACCGGGAACCTGGAGGTGTGACGCAACAGGGATGTGGCATCCATGCAATTGAGTTGAACCCTTCTAGAACACTCCTAGCCACTGGAGGAGACAACCCAAACAGCCTTGCCATCTATCGTCTGCCTACGTTAGATCCTGTGTGTGTGGGTGATGTAAGTTTTTATATTGGTTGCCATTAGAAGGAACCCTGTTTTAAAACATACTGTCTCCCAACCTAGAAAGGGGTGATTTTTATCTAAATTTCTCCTGGCATGGGGGTTAGGGGTGGGAGAGAACAGAATGGAAATTGGGATCCCATGGCATGCTATGCATTTGATAGAAGGAACAAATGGCACATCTCTGTGGCCAACAGTGGGCTGTTCATCAGTTCACAGGGTCCACATACCTCCCATTGCCCTGTTGAAAATGAACCTAGCCATTCATCAATAGTCAGGTATTGGCTTCAGAGCATAGCATGAATGAAATGAATAAAGCCCTCTATAGTGTTGAGAGTGACATGTAAATCAATATGTAGATCATACACGCATTAACGATCAGTAACATGCCCATGTGAAATGCGCCGTGGAGGGCTGGAGAATGAAGGGGAGGGGCTGCTCTTTCAGAGAGCAGATAGGAAGGCTCAGTGAGAAGACACGTGAGTGAGCCGGGAGACTTACAGGAAACATGAACAGCAGCCATGGGAGTGATCCAGGCATAAGACAAGACACCGAGGTAGAAAACTTGAGACTGTGTTTGCTGGACATTTTGTTTTTGTTTATTTTTGGGTTTTTGTTGTTTTGGTTTGGATTTTTTTTGTTGTTTTTTTTTTTTGTTTGTTTGTTTTTGTTTTTGTTTTGAATTGGATTTGGGTTCTTTTTTTGTTTTGGGTTTTTTTTTTTTTTTTTTTTTTTGACAGGTTCTCTCTATATAAACCTGGCTATTCTGTAGCTCCCTATATAGACCAGGCTGGCCTTAAATTCACTTGGCTCCTCCTGCCTCCCTGGTGCTGTGATTAAAGGTATGTGCCCCTTCTGGGCATTGTTATTTACCTACAGGACTTCTAGTTTTATTTTATCTTTGATTCTTCCCAGATACTATGAGATCTTGCCCTACAGGTTAAGATCATCAGAGACCTTGTTGTTGTTGTTGTTGTTTTTGCTTATTGTTTTACATTCGTGTGTGTGTGTGTGTGTGTGTGTGTGTGTGTGTGTGTGTCACGCGCACGCGCACATGTGGAAGCCAGAGGACACTGAGAAATTCAGTCCTCTCTTCTGCCTTGTGGGGTTTGAAGATCCAGCTCTGGTTGGCAGACTTGGCAGCAAGCACCTTTACTTGCTGAGCTATCTTGCTGGCCCTGTTTTGTTTTGTAGTAGGGTCTCCATATGTGGCTCATGCTGTTCTAGAACATGGATCCTCTGCCTCAGCTTCCTGAATTACAGGCATGTGCAACCATGTCCTTCCATACTTACAAGATAGTTTCAGTCAGACTTGTTCACTTTTCAGAAGTATTCATTACAGTCCTTATTTTACTAATCTTTCTTACTGTTTTTGTTTTTTCCTCTCTGTACATGTCACTTACCCCTCTAAGGATGGACACAAGGATTGGATCTTTTCTATTGCATGGATCAACGATACTATGGCAGTTTCTGGTAAAGTTGACCTTCTTTAGGGAGATTTGGTGTGGCAAAGAGGAAGGTTAAAAATTGTAGTGTGATAGAATATAACCTCTGAACCTAACAGAGGCCATGATGCCTTACTTTGTTTTCTTACTTACTTAGATGGTACTAGGTTGAAATCAGGGCACGGGTATGCTAATTGGGTACCCTTACCATGCAGTTACATTTCCCATACTCCCCTACCTCACCTCCTTCACCACCACTTTTTTGGGGAGGGCACAGGGTCTCACATTGTAGCTAAGGCTGCTCTAGAACTCATATGTGCTCCATACTGGTCTTGAACTTGCAGCAGTTTCTCTGCCTAAGCTTTTTTGTTGTTGTTGTTGTTTGTTTGTTTCTTTGAGTAGCCTCGGCTGTCCTGGAACTGTGTAGAACAGGCTGGCCTCAAATGCAAAGATCCACCTGCCTGTGCCTCCTGAGTGCAGGGGCTAAAGGTGTGAGCCACCATTGTCGAGCTTTGCCCAAGCCTCTTAAGTAATACTATAGGTATGACCCATTATGTCCAGCCTAGGAGATTTTGTGTTTTCCTCAATCATTTCACCTTATTTTTTTTAATTGATTGATTGATTGGCTATTATGTGTGGGGGGTGCTCATGCCTTGGTACATGTGGAAATCAGCGGATGACTCTTGGTGTCAGTTCTGTCTTTCTCTCCAACACTTGGGAGATGAAAGCAGGAAGATCAGGAATTCATAGGCCAGCTTGGGCTACATTGAAATCCTGTCTCAAAAAATTAAATAGGGATAGAGGAGAAGATTAGAACAAAAACCAATAAATAAATAAAATCTTTGTGTAATATCTTTGTGTATGTGAATTGTTGCTAATGGGAACATGAATGTTCAGGGCTGCTGTAAATGACATTTTATTTTGTAGTACATTCAGAGATGAGTTAAAAAAAGCTTTTCTCTGAATGTGTGAGGTCCTGGGAATGAACTTGGTGCTATGCAGAGGGTAACGAAGAGAAAACTTGTTGTTTGTTATTGTTTGTTTGCTAAGGAAAATAATTTATGGGTTTTGTTTGGCATGTTAAGTTGAACTTGGGACGGAGAGATGGCTCAGACTTTAAGACTTCTTCCAAAAGGTCCTGAGTTCAATTCCCAGTAACCACATGGTGGCTCATAATCATCTATAATGAGATCTGGTGCCCTCTTCTGGCCTGCGGGTGTACATGCAGGCAGAACACTGTATAATAATAAAGTCATTGAAATTGAACTCCATAGCCAAGCATGTGCAGCACACCTTTAGTCCCAGCACTCCCCGGGCAGAAGTCCAGGATAGCTAGGATGGGTGAATAAATGAGCAGATCTCAAATCCTTGTGCTCAGGCAGCTCTTCTTCTCAGTTATATTCCCAGCACACACACACACACACTCATGCTTACCTCAAACTCACTGTGTAGCTAAGGACCTCCCAGGGCCATATACATTCACACCAGGTTTTATAGGGTACTGGGGTTGAACACAGGACTTTGATGCATGCTAGACAAGTACTCTATCAAGTTGTATCCCCAGCACTAAGAGGTCATTCTTGGCCATGTGTGGTGGTGTGTGCCTTAATCCCAGGCTCTGGATGCAGAGGCAGGCTCTAAATTTAGTCTCATGGATTTCCCTAAAATTGAATATAAAGAGATGTTTCTGGAGGAAGAAGTCTCAATGAAGAAATGTGAGCTGAATGTGGTGGCTCACACTTGTTATCCCAGTACTCAGGAAGCTGAGGCAGGAGGACTGTTGCAAGTTTGAGGCCAACCCAGGTTACAGAGTAAAATGTGTCTTAAAGCAAAGCACACTGCAGTGTTTGGGGTAGATTCTGTAGCCAAGATGGATATTGAAAAGAAAGGCCCATGTGGTCTTCTGTGGGGTTTTCTCATGGAGGGTCAAGTGACATCTGTGAATCTCCTACACTGCAGGCTCACGGGATGGTTCTATGGGACTCTGGGAGGTGACAGATGATGTGTTGACCAAAAGCGATGCGAGACATAATGTGTCACCAGTCCCTGTATACGCTCACATCACTCACAAGGCCTTAAAGGATATCCCCAAGGAGGATACAAACCCGGACAACTGCAAGGTGCGGGCTTTAGCCTTCAACAACAAGAACAAGGTATGAGTTCACCAAGGGATCCAGAAGCCTGCCTCTTCCCCCTGTCCTTCCCCTCCAAGGCAGTGCTTGTTTCACAAGTTGGCTCTAAACCCAGGTCTTTAGAGGCTGTAGGATGCTGATGAGTAGAGCTGAGGCTGTGAAGCCCATCCTTGTATTTGTCTGAGCAGACCCTGTTTGTGGCCAGGCTTAGGGCTTCCCTGGGCCACTCTAATCTGACACTGCCTCACTTGCATGTGCTTTTTAGGTGCTCGATTCTTTTCATGCTCACCTCTAAAAGCAGCCACTTGTTTTTAAGCTTCTCATTCTCACTGCTTCCTTTATCTGATACTTGACACTGAGTTCACCTAAGTCATTGTCAGATCTCCTGACAGGTTGTAAGCAGAATCTAAGACTAGACCCAGAGCCCAGAAAGCAGATAGGCTTCTGCAAAATCTGAAAAAGACCCCGATTTGATATTCTCTCTGTCTGTCTCTTTCTCTTCTCTCCTGTTTATCTCCTTTCTTTCTCTTTCCTCTCTCCTTTTTCTCTCCCTCTCTCCTCTTTTTTTCCTCTTTCTCCCCCTCCCCAGGCTGGCCTCCCACATAGACAGCTGCCTGCCTCTGCCGCCCCTTCCCCAAGTGCTTGGGTTAAAGCTTTTATTTTTGTGTATGAATGTTCAGCCCGCACATGTGTGTAGCTGTAAGCAACAGGAGGCCCTGGCCTGAGAGGTGGTTCGCTGAACATGGGTTTCTCTCTGCACCTGCATCTCCCAGCCTTTCACTTGAGCTCTGCTCTGACAGCTGTGAGATTAGGGGAGCCGTGGCATGGGAAAGACATTTTCATGCCCAGATGTGTGTTTGTGTGATTGCCAGAAACTGTACTTGCTTTGTGGAATACTGTCTAGCTGCAGTGCATGAGGTGAGGTGAAAGTGGGTAGTTAATGGCACCCTTGATACAACCACCTTGGGATGGGAGTGCAGGACAGCAGAGTCCCCAGCTCCCGGCTCCACCCTGTGGATTGTGGTAATTGAGTTTGCCGCAGAGCCTATTATAATTTCTTTTCCATTGCTCTTGTAGGAGCTCGGAGCAGTATCACTGGATGGCTACTTTCATCTGTGGAAGGCTGAAAATACATTGTCTAAGGTGTGAACATGTCTTGGTGGTTAATATGATAATTTAACATAGGGTTCAAATCCTGTTGTTCTCCCAGAGTTGTAATGGACTTGCCCAAAACACCTTTTCTTCTAAGGTCTGGTAGTAGAATTGCACAGTACATGCAGTTGAATCTGGCATACTTACGTTTGTGTATCTTTTTAAATTATTCCAGTCTAGCCTTAAACTTGTGATCTTCCTCATCTAAAATACCTCACAAAGACTGGAGGTGTTGGCAGCCACCACTATGCCTAAGCAAGAAAGGTCTGTCTTCTCCTAGGACAAGGTCTGAGTACAGACTGGCCTTGAATTTATTAACCTAGAATGCCTAACCCTCTTGACTCTTCTTTGCCACTATAGTACCGAGATGTCTTCACAGAGATCTGAGATTGCAGAACACTCACTAAGGAAGTTCCTTACTAGCTCTCTAGCCCACAGAGTTAGGCTCTTGTGTCAAGGTGAAGAAACCTGAATGTTAAAGCTCCTAGCAACAACAACAACAACAAAAAAATCAGTCAAACTAAGATAAATTTTCTCTTAAGAATCATGTAAGATGATAAGAAAATGGAATGGATTTTTGTTTTGGTTTGGTTTTTTCAAGATGGGGTTTCTCTGTGTACCTGAGGCTATCCTGGTACAGGTTCTGTAGATTAGGCTAGCCTAGACTCGGAGCTCCATCTGCCTCTGCCCCCTAAATGCTGGTATTAAAGGCGTGTGCACTCCACCTGGTTTGGATTTTTGTGTTGACTAGGTTACTATGTAACCAAAGCTGGACTAAAACAATGTGTAATCCAGGTAGGCCTCAAACCAGTGTCCTCCTGCCTCAGACTCCCAAAGGCTAGGATCACAAATGTAAAGTGCCATCCCAGTGTTTTTGATTTTATTTTTCTTTCTTTCTTAAAAGATTGGCTTACAGGGCTGAAGAGATGCTCAGAGGTTAAGAGCACTTGGCTGCTCTTCCAGAGGTCCTGAGTTCAATCCAGCAACCACATGGTGGCTCACGACCATGTATAATGAGATCTGGCGCCCTCTTCTGGCGTGCAGGTGTACATGCAGACAGAACACTGTATATATACTAAATAAATAAATTTTAAATTAAAAAAAAAAAAAAGATTGGCTTATTAGGTAGCCCAGTCTTGTCGCAAACTCAGAATCCTCCCTTACCTGCCAGTGCCAGGACTACAGGAAAGTCTTTTAAGGAGACTTGAGATTACAGCAGCACGATTAAGAACATAGATTTATTCATAATGCTTGCCAGCAGCTTTTTTGTGCAGTACAGTGTATATGTTGGTCATTTGCCGCATCTTGCCTGTGTTGCTTATATCTGTAATGAGCATCTTCTGAAGAGGAAGGCAGGCTCAGGGAATTGACAGCTCCCTGTGCCACAGCGCCTTTGTGCTCCACTGGCCTTGCGTAATTACATACAGCAAGCAGAGACTAGATTTTCTAGTCCACAAAGATCAAAGACGAAGGCTGACTTAGTTTACCTGGGATGGAATTCCAGCATATAGGTGAATCCCTGGCATACAGATTCTATTCCTTTGGTAACCTGGCCGAAGAGTCAAACAGTCCCTTTATGTGCAGAGCAACAAAGAGTGGTGGCTCATCTTGCAGAAAGAACAGCGGAAGACTTAGGCCTTGGTGCTGGGCTCGTTCCTAGAACTAAACTATAGTTTTTGGCTTTTCCTGGCATTCTAATCATTTAATTTCAGCTTTCTCTTTCCCTAACCCAGAAGTTACTCATTAACTAGGCTTTGTCTTGTCCCTGACGTAGGTAGTTTGTAAAAGAAGCCCAGAGAGGAAGGATTACAAAAACACTGCCCTTTCTATGCTGTTATATCTCTTCTCTGTTCAGCTTCTCTCTACCAAATTGCCATATTGTCGAGAAAATGTGTGTCTGGCCTACGGCAGTGAGTGGTCTGTGTATGCGGTGGGCTCTCAAGCACACGTCTCCTTCTTGGACCCGCGGCAGCCGTCATACAACGTCAAGTCTGTCTGCTCCAGAGAGCGAGGCAGTGGTGAGTCCCTGTGTGTTCCTTCAGGCCCATAGCTACACTTCAAATGGGTTTTTATCTTTTGTTTCCCCTTTGACTTCCAAAAGAGAATAGTGATATGTGTGTAGGTTGTAGAAGTATTTGGTAACAGAAGAGAGGAACTTAATGACTTTCAGAGTTTTCAGGCTTTGGAAGCCTTTGGTACAAACCACTGTGAGGAGATACGTAGCTAGCGTTGGGAACATTTTGCTGGAGCCTTTCCTGAGCTAGAGTTCTCATGTGCTGAATGACGCTGGTGGGGAGAAGAGTTAGAGGAGCACTAGGTCACTTTTGGATGTGATGGTAAACATGTACGGTGTGAGGTGTGACAGTTATACCTCAGGACACTGAAGAAAGTACTTGTTTTGGCTGAGTGCTAGGTCTCAATATCTAACACACACCCCTTGTGTTGCTGGAAATCATACCCAGGGCTCTGCACTTGTCCTCAAACGTCCTGCCTCTTAGCTGCACCCATAGACCCAGCCTCTCCCAGGTAGCATCTTTTGAGGGCCATCACTCACTTTCTTCAATGGACTCTTCTTTAAGGTTTCAGAATACTTTCTTCTGATGATTCATTTCCTCCCAGCAAGAATCCTGTGGAAAGCAGGTCAGAAAAGTCAGTGGTTAAGACTGCTTACTGCTTTTCCAGTGGACCTGAGTTCAGGTTCCAGCACTCTTATTGAATGGCTCACAGCTGTCTAGAAGTCCAGCTCCAGGGGGCCTGACACCCTCTCTTGGCCTCCATGGTCAGCTGCACTCAGGTACAGAGCACATGTGATTTAAAAAACTTAGAAGCAGGCCAGGTGGTGGTTACACACATTCAATCCCAGCACTTAGGAGGCATAAGCAGTCAGAACTCTTTGAGATCCTGTCTCAAAAACAAAACAAAAGCCTGGTGGTGGTAGTGCACACCTTTAATCCCAGTATTTGGGAAGCAGAGACAGGCGGATCTGTGTGAGTTCCAGGACAGCCTGGTCTACACAGCCAGTCCCAGGACAGCCAAGGCCACAAAGAGATACCCTGTCTCAAAAAACCCAAAAACAAAACAACCTACTACCAGCAAACAAACAAAACAACCTATAGACCATGCATGGTGGCACATGGGTTTAGTTTCTGCATTAGGAGGCAGAGAGAGATGGGTAGAGGCCAGCTTGGTTTATATAGCTCCAGGCTAAATAGGACTTGTGAGACTGAGCCCACATAGAAGGGGTGCGGTCAGGGTCTTCAGACCATCCAATCTGAACTTTGTTTAGCGTCTGTTTCAAATAGTATTATTTCTGTTTAGCTACTACAAAAGCAGTTTTTGTTTTTCTGTTTATTGTTAGGGAAGGTGCATACTGTGGTACTGATTAGAAGTCAAAGAACAATTTGAGGGAGGTGGGTTTGTCCTTCCATGGGAGTCACAGGAATCAGACTCAGGTGATCAGTCTTGGTAGCAAGAGCTCTTACTGCTGAGCCATCTCTCCTGCCCTAGGATTTATTTGTTTGTTTTGTTTTTTGAGACAGGTTTTCTCTGTGTAGCCTTGGCTGTCTTGGACTCATTTTGTAGACCAAGCTAGCCTTGAACTCACAGAGATGTGCCTGCCTCTGCTCTGATCACAGGTGTGTGCCACCGCCCCAAGCTCTCAATGAAAGTTTTAAGAGGTTTTTTTCAAGGCCAAGCTGACCTCGAATTTACAAAGATCTGCCTCCCCATTACTGGGATTAAAGGTGTACAGCACTGTGCCTGGCTTTTAAAAGGTTTAGTTACTGTTAATGGAGGTAGCTTGCATAAGGAAACAGGAGTTCACAAAAATCCCTAGCTCCACACTGGAGCCAGGAGGCATCTCTGTCCAATGTGTAACCCACAGGCACAGCAGATGTATTTTACCTTTCATCCAAAGTAGTTGGTGGCTTTCGGTAAATAACCTACTACCACGCACTTCCTGTGATGCTTGTAAATAGGAAGATAATAGGGAACTACATACGGAACGTGATGGCGAAGAGCTGAGAGTTATGAAAGATGGCTCCAGGGCACTCAATGGCTACTCAGGGTTATGGAACACAGAGCAGAAGACAGTGTGGATATCCCAGGTGATTTGCTGTATGAGGGTCCTGTTTATCCCTGTGACTTCTGTTTAGCCATCTGGTATTTGGGGGTGTCCCCTCTGATTGCCTTGTGTTTCCTTAGGGATCCGATCCGTGAGCTTCTATGAACACATCATCACTGTGGGCACAGGGCAGGGCTCCCTGCTCTTCTATGATATCCGAGCACAGAGATTTTTGGAAGAGAGGCTCTCGGCTTATTATGGGTCCAAGCCCAGACTAGCAGGGGAGAATCTGAAACTAACTACTGGCAAGGGCTGGTTGGTGAGTAAGCCCAAACCTGAGATGATGGTTGAATGACAGTAAAGGAAAATGTCTTCCCTCTAGTCACCCCTCCTCACTGGTATTGAAAAGTTCCCCTCCTCCCTTTTTTTTTTTTTTTTTTTTTGCTATTGGCATTCCTTAGAGCAGAGAAAAACCTTTGTGTCTGCGTATTGGCTGGGGGGTGGGGGCCGCTGGAGAGGCCAAGTAAGGTGGTAGTGGCAAATGCTTATAATCTCTCTGTAAACTGAAGGAGGATCGTAAAACAAAAATGAAAGGCCCAGTGCCTTAAGATTTTGAACACAGAGTAGGAAAGATAAAGCGCCTTCAGCCATTGCTGCCAGTAAGTTATCATTAACAAGTTTGATTCTGCAAAGCTGTCTGGTGAGGATGTGATTTCAGCAGAGCAATTCTGTATTGTGTTTAGCTGGGAAAATGGGGCCAGTTTCCTTGAGAACCAATTGTGTGACATCAGGTGATAGGTACAGAACCTTTTCATCCAGCAGAGACCAGAAGGCATTCCTGTCCCTTCCATCTCATTGCTAGAGGTACTGATAGTTGCCTTCTCTTCCCACAGAATCATGATGAAACCTGGAGGAATTACTTTTCGGACATTGATTTCTTCCCCAATGCTGTTTACACCCACTGCTACGACTCGTCCGGAACGAAGCTCTTTGTGGCAGGAGGTCCCCTCCCTTCTGGGCTCCATGGAAACTATGCTGGACTGTGGAGTTAATGACAACTAACTTTCTCCCAAAATGCAGATTTACACTAACTTCCACCCTCAGTTTCCTCGTTTGGTGTTTTGATTCCCCCAGTGTGAGGGCTCCCCTGTTGACTGCAGACAGAGCTGCCATGGGTTAGGCAGTTACTAAGAAGAAGCTCTATGCGGAAACCCAAAGAGGGGGAGGTTTTGTTGTCTTTTGGTTGGTTGGCGATTTGTTGCTTTGGGGTTTTTTGTTTGTTTGTTTGTTTGTTTGGGTAGGTCTTTGTTTGTTTTCACTTTTCAATAATCAGAATTTTACTCCCCCCCTTCTGCTTTCTCAACCAAACATTGTTACATATCTCTCTTTTTTTTTTTTTCCTTAAGTGACACTCTCTTCTTTCTCTGGCTTCTTTACACTGAAATGACAAGGCCATTCTCACCTACTTCACTCAAGAAGTAGGCCCTTTATAATTATGTGGTCGCTGTCAGACTTTCTGTGAAAGTTTGGGAGCCGTGTGTGTGTCTGTGTGTCTGTGCTTGCTTGTATGAACTTGTGTGCCTGATGGTACTTCGGTCACTGATACTACTTGGAGTGAGGATTATCTGTAATTAAAGTATTTATAAAAGAAACAACTTTATTCAGAGTCCAGCTGTGGAACTAGCCTGTATCTTTTTAAAAGTCTGACTTTGTAGGAAGTGAAAACTTAAGAGAAACAAACACATCAGGAAAGCCCTTGAGTTCGATTACAGGCTTGGGGTGGGAGTGGAGGCTCCAAGCCAGAACTCCAGAGTGATCCAGCCCTGCCTGTCCTTCCCACCTGTGTGCATGTTCCTTCCACTTCCTAACTTCCTGGGCCACTTATGGTCTAGGTAAAGAGAATCCTCTCCCTGGTCTCCTGCTTCTGTCAGGGTCTGACCTGACCAAGAGCAAGGAGTCTCAAGCTTGACATGGTTGCCATTCATAGTCTCCTATGACTCCTAGGAGGAACTTTTCCATTCTTGGGATTTTAACTGGGTTCTGTCCAGGAAGGAGTGGTTTGCAGTGAATGCTTTGCGTGTGGGTATCTGTTTTCTGCGTGTGTTGGAGCTTAGTATTGGAAGTTACCTTCCTGCTCTGTTGGCTCATAACTATGGCTGTGCTGGTGTCACTGCATGTGACAGTGTAGGTGTGATGTGTGCTTTGCTTGTTCCTCTCTTTGAACTGTTTAGTGTGGGTTTTTAACTTGCAGACAACTGTCAAGCCAGTTGCTCTTTCACACATCATGTCAAAAGAAACCTTTCCCACCCGAGGCCTGAGAAGAGGAGCCACAGTACTGTGCCCACTTTCTCAGTTGCTCCCAGTTCTTCCCATTTTCTCTTTGTGTCAAAAGAGTATCCTCATAATGGCAAGGACTGCTGGGAAGCAGCAAGCCCACTGATAGTCCACAGCATATACCACAGGTTTTAGAACAATCATCCTATAATCTAGAAAAATAGGTGCTACAAACAGGAAATTAAGCAAAATGCTGGATGCTATGAATCTTTTGTCTTAATTTTTTCTATTATTAAACTACAGGCTGTAGGATGTCTTAGTTCTCACAGAACTTCTGTCCTTTTAAACTGACTTGTGTATTTAAAAAACAACTCTTAAGTAGGATGTTTTGTGCTGTTGTCAGACCGTCTCCTGTGATGCTTTTGAGTGTCTGAGATTTTCTGTTTTCAAAAATGTAGCATTTGACTTTTTTTGCCAAGGAAAAATAAATACTGTCCTAGAGCAGATCTGTCTGCGTGAATGTACATGGCAAGGAAGCTCAGGGGAGACACCCAAAGGGCTGCTTGAAGGCATGCTGGATTTGTCAAGGTTAGAGTACCTAGGCTGGCTTGCTCCTGCTCCCCAGCTCTGGCTGGGCTGAGGTGTCCCTGAGGATGGCTGTGCCCAGGTGAGGTAGTGAAAGAAGCAAAACACTGGCTTAGGGTGACTAAGCTGACTAGCTCCAGCATAAGTCAGGTCAGTGATAGCTCCTCTCCTCTCTGCCTCACTGATGTCTTGAGAATGAATGGAAGTGCTTCCACGGTGGACTTTTTGCAGTTAAACCCATTGATTGTCAATGTTCTTCACAGGGTAGGACACGGTGATCTTCCCAAGGACTGATAAGTCATGCCTTCTTCATGCAGCTAACTCCGAAAGACTCAGCAGTGCTAGGCTACTAAGCAAAAGCAGTGACACTAGTCCTCAGCTACAAAGCGCTAAACTGCCTTCCATGGCAAACAAGCTCTAATTGATTGAGACCAAACTCACATTGGGGCCTTGATCAAAGACTGCAGGCGAAAAAAGAGGGTAGGTCGAAGCAATTTAAGAATACATCCTAGAAAAGAGTGACATTTGAACAGGGCCTGGAACTAGCCTTTCCTAAAGCAATTTGGAGTACAAGAGCTCAACAACATTAGTGTTTGGACTAGGAAATGGAGAATAGAACACATCAGGGTTTGGAGACATGGTTCTGCAGTTAAGAGCGAGTGTTGCTCTTACAGTGGTCCTGAATTTGGGTCCCAGCATTTACATGGTGGTTCACATCCGTCTATAACTCCAGTTCCAGGGGATCCGGCACCTCCTATATAGGCACTGGGCATTCACACATCACATATGTCTGTATGTGGGTAAAACGCTCGTGTCCATTTTTTAAAATTCTATTTTTTTAAGTTTTCATCACCTTTTTAAAATAACCACTGATGGGCTGAGGAGATGGTACAGCAGTTAAGAGCACCTAGCTGCTCTTCCAAAGGACCAGGGTTCAAATCTGAGAACCGACATCAGCTCACAACTATATCTCCAGTCCCAGGGGAATCCGATGCCCTCTTCTGGGCTCTGTTGTGCACTGCATACATGCCCTGCATAAGCATACCTATGTACATAAACATACATGCAGGCAAAACACCCAAGAACTTTTATTTACAGGGCTGAGCACTGCCTGCTCTTCCAGAGGTCCTGAGTTCAATTCCCAGAAACCACATGGTGGCTCAGAACCATCTGTAATGAGGTCTTGTGCTCTCTTCTGGTGTGCAGGTGTACGTGCAGGCAGATACCTGTTTCTCCCTAGCCCACCTCAATGCCTTCCAACACCCCAACACCAGGTAGGAAAGAGTAAGGGTAGTCTTTTTTTTTTTTTTTTTTTAAGGGTAGTCTTTTTAGTTGCTTCCTGTTGGTCAGGTTCATCGGCTTCCTTGGAACCAGTCCAGTCCTCATTTCAGGAGATCTCCAACTTCTTGTTTCACAACCGCAACCAGGAGCAGCCTTGTTCTTTCTTTGAGCTCCTCACTCTCCGGGCTCTGGCATTTATTTATTCTCTCTCCAGAGTCCTCAGATTTAAACTATCAGCAGCTGGCAAAGAGCTCTCAGAGCCCACCTGAAGCAAATAGTCTGCTGCTGTGGACCGTCTGAATCAGTCCCACATCCCAAACCTGGGACCAAAACAAAAAACATGTTTATATTCACATTTCCCCCTTTGTTTTAAAAAAAAAACGGCTTTTCTTTTCATTTAAATGAAACTTGCTGTTTCTTTTTTAAGAGGAGATAATCAAGGAACCTTGTCATGGAGCTCACTATCCAGCCAGGGGTGACCCTGACGTCCTGATCTTCCTGCCTCTGCCTACTGAATGCTGGGATCACCAGCATACACCACTCTACCTGGCTGCCACCTTCTGACTCTTGAGTTATTAGTATATCATGTGACTAGGTTCTATGGAGCATGCTCAGAGAAAGGTGATCTAGTAGATACACAGTGGACTTGCCTTAGGACCTCTGGACTCCATGGAATCTTGGCCCTACCCTCAGTTTCCAGTCAGACTTACCAGCAAAATATGTACCACAGAAGGGCCTTGTGAATTTCATGGTAGTCCCTTCCTGCCAGCAGTCCCTCACACCAGGCCATGAAAGAATTTCCTTGTTCATTTTCAAGCCTTGTGCCTCCTGCCTCATCCCAAATGAGCTGCTGGCTCCTCCTGTCATCTCTCGGGTCTTTTGCTGAAGAGAATTCCTTCAATGGTCATTAATGTTCCTGTTTTTGTTGAGGGGATTGAGCCCTATCAGTCCTAGTATCTGACAAAGCCCAGGCTGGCCTTGAACTCTGCCCTAGGCCCTCAGAGCTGGGCTTACAGGCATGAACCACTACACCTGACCAAAGAATTTTAAACTTTATTCTCATTGATTAATGAGGATAATAATACTGATTATCTGAGCCCAACATACATTTACAGTGCTGCTTATTATTAACTATCTAGATATGTAATTAACACCCTAGTACTGTGACCAGGAAGGAAACAATCAACTACTGCCTTCTGTAAACTCCCCTTACTTGGTGACTCTTTCTTAAGGACTAACAGCCCAGTCAGAGGACTGGAAACAATGAAGCATCTTTGTTCTCTGAGTGTTAAGGTTCAGATCCTCAGTGGTCCCCCAGGTTCACTGAGGAAAGGCGCGGTCCCCTGCTGACATAGCAGTAAGTCTTCTAGAAGGTGAAAGGAAATGGAAGAAGACTAGATCACTGGGCTATAGACTTCAAGACACAGGAACCTATCCTATTCTTTCTCTGACTCTCAGATCTCTGTCTTTAGCTGTTTTCCTCCACCACACACTCAGATATGTTCAGCTTTGCCACAGGCTCTAAAACAATGGAGCCAGCTGCCTATGGAGCAATGTCAAGAAAAAAAGGAAATGAAAATAGATGAGAGAGAGCCAGGTTTGCTATACTGCTTGAGAGATGAGAGCAGAAGGAGCAGGAATTCAAGGAAAAGTCTCAGCTACATAGCCAATTTAGGTGGATCTCTGAGTTGGAGGCCAACCTGGGCTACATAGTGAGATCTTGTCTAAAGCCACCAAACCAAAGGTATCAGACCTCATGAATGGTTTATCTCTGGCACTTTGTGGTATGGGCATTTGCCAGTAGCAGAGCTGATTGCCTTAGCGTGAGGTGTGAGATAGGTTTGGTTATGTGAGAAAATCCTCAACAATCTTTCTGCCCTCTAGATCCTACACTAAGAATACAAAATTATAACTATAATCATATTTTAAAGTTCCACCAGTGGATTTTTTTTTTTTTTTTTTTTTTTTTTTTTTTTTTGCTTTTTGAGATAAAGTCTTACCAAGTTCTCCAAAATCTAAGATTATGTATGTATGCCTGGCTTGGACCTTTTTCTTTAAAGATGTAGAGTATATTTTTGTTTTCTGTTTGTTTTGCAAGACAGGGTTTCTCTGTGTTGCCTGGAGCTCACTCTGTGGACAAGGCTGGCACTAAACTCAGAAATCCACCTGAGTGCTGGGATTAAAGGCAAGGGCCACCACCACCGGACCATAGAATCTTATTTTTTTTTTGTTTTGTTTTGTTTTGTTTTGTTTTTGTCAGTTTGTTTTGACAGTGTTTCTCTGTATAGCCTACAGAACAGTCCTGTTCTGTAGGCCAGGTTAGCCTTGAAGTCACAGAGATCTGCCTGCCTCTGCCTCCCTGAGTGCTGGGATTACAGACATGCACCATTGCTCCTGACTGAATCTTCTTCTTTTTTTTTTTTTTTTGTAAAAAAAGAGTTCAATTCCCAGCAACCACATGGTGGCTCACAACCATCTGTAATGAGATCTGGCGCCCTCTTGTGGCATGCAGTGTACATGTAAGCAGAACTCTGTATACATAATAAATACATAAATTATTTTTTAAAATAATTATTATTATTATAATTTATTATTTATACAGTCTGCCTGCACGTACACCTGCATACCAGAAGAGGACACCAGATCCCAGTATGGATGGTTGTGAGCTTCCATGTGGTTGCTGGGAATTGAACTCAGGACCTTTGGAAGAACCAGTGCTCTTAACCTCTGAATCTTATTTTCTTAATGGTCTCCAGTAATACCCTAGAAGTGGTAGTGGAGAGAAAGGGGTGGGGCAGGCATTCTTATTTAAACCACCACAGCTGACCTCAGTCCTCTACAAAAACAACAAACCTGAGTAGAGTAGCACACACTTTTATACAGACACACACTGTGGCCTTGGAGCACTGAGGCTGGAGGACAATGGTCAGGAGGAGCCAGTCTGAGTTGCATGAGACCCTCCCCAAGAAAAAGGATAATGGATGCCAAAAGATCAGTGACGTAATTTAAAATTCCTAAACCCATTTAACTGGTAACTACAGATGTTTTGTTTACTTTTAATGACCTTTCTAATGAGAATTAGGCAGGGTGAAGGGTTAGTAGTTGTTATGAAGACCTCTTAGCCTACCAAAAATGTAGAAAATGTCAGTTGGTGGTGGCACATACCTTCAAACCCAACACTTGGGAGGCAGAGGCAGATCTATCTCTGTGAGTTCAAGAACAAACCCTGTCTCAAAAAACAAACAAAAAAATCAATCTGGGTGTGGTGGCCCACACCTGTAATCCCAACACTTTGAGAGGGAGAAACAGGCCGATCTCTGTGAGTTTGAGGCCAGCCTGGTCTTCGAAGGGCATACAGGACAGCCAAGGCTACACAGAGAAACCCCGCCTTGAAACAACAACAAAAAATGTAGAAAACTTTACTTTGTATCCATCAACCCAGAAGTGTGATTTCTGGGAACTCGCAGAAACTAAGTAGCATGTAGGCACAGCTAGTTACAGGCAGTTGTCTAGAATTAGCAGACATCAGCACTGTACAGACCAAGTCTGTAAATAAGGAAATGCTTAAAACAGTGTTTGTGGGTCAGCCTTATCATAGAACAGCCACCAGGTGTGGTGATGACCCCAGTGCTACAGAGTT